AAAAAGTCAAAGTTCCCAAGCACAAAGCTCCACCTATGAGCTATGTGTATCCAGGGAGCCTCATAGCGTAGAGCTGGGGCTCCTGCTGCTCAGAGGCTGAGACATAGGCCCAAGGTCACAGAGAGCTGGCTGTCCTGACCCCAGGCCTCTCCCAGCGCTGCCGGCGGCTTCGGGAAGCCAGGCCGCAATGTTTCGATGGAGAGGCTCACGAAGAGCTTTGGAGACCGGGGCACATCACCGAGTGATGTGATTGCCTCTCCTGCAGGGACTCGGAAGAGCCGGACTGAGCATCCCTGGGCCACCTCCCATCCCGGCACACGATTAGGGCCTTGCAGCCTCTTCAGACCCCGAGACCCCTCTTGAGGGCCTAAGGTGGTCCTCTTCACCAATGTCCCTGGGCTGCTGCTTAACCCTCGCCTCTACCGGAAACCACCGCGGACCCCGCAGTCTGACTCGGGGACCGTGCTGGACACTCCCATGGAGAGCGGCACAGCTTCAGGACCCTCTGCAGACCTGGCATCATCGATTTGTTCCGTCTCCCAACCCGACCAGGAGCTGCGACTAGCTCCCCTGTGCCCCGCTCCCCCCGCCGGAAGGGGAAACAGCTCTGCTTCAGAGGGGGCCGTCACTCGCGCCTCTCCCATCCCCAAGGATCCCTCTGCCTCCTCCTCGCCTTTGCGCCACCTGTGTTTCCGGCCTGCCCCTCCCTCGTGCGAGAGCGGCGCTTCCTCACACACGACTGATGTCGGGCTAGACAAGACGGATGGCCGAGGGCTTCGGGATGAGCTCTGTGACATGCTTTCATATGTCACCTCTTAAAAACCAATTAGTAAATGTTTCTGATGAACTCTTTTTTTTTTTTAAAAGAAATGTTAATTTTTTTCTGGGTGTAAAAGAAACATGTACCCATTGTGGCAGATGTGGAGCATATAGAAAAATAAGGAAGAACATTCATTCGGTGGCCCTAGAACTCAGAGAGAACCGAGATGAGCGACATGACATGCTTTTGTACATACATATGTGTTCACCTCTTATCATCCGTTTTGTTCCTATTTTTAAATATTTCATTTAAAATGAACTCTTAGGCTAAGATTTTTGTTCTCATGTCAGTGCCAAATCAGGCATAAAAAGAAGCACCTGTTAGCTCTTGCTGATGGGCCTAAAATATTCTCTTCCCTCTTGAGTTTCTGAGAAGCCTGAGGTTTGCTCGAGGCTAGCCTAGGGCAGTGTCCACAGTCCCTACTTTCCAGCTCATCAAGCACATGCTGAAAATGCCTCTTCACGGCCGCCTGCCTTCTCTCCTTGGGAAATCACAGTTCAATATGGGGTCCTCCTTCCACTTTTGTCCTCAACCCAGGACACTGAGGCGAGAAAGGTGCAGGTTGGGACATGAGGTAGAGTCTTAAGAGAGGAGGGGGCCCGCCCTCACCCCCCCACCCCTGGCCCAGTGACTCTGGCCTCAGGTTGTTGAGGGCGCTGACCCGGGACCACCACTCTGTCCAAAGACAGGGGAGGGTCTTTACAGCAGCCAAACCAACCCCTCCCTGATCTGGCCACCTCATGGCTGGTCTGTTCCCACAGGTCCTGTGGCCTTGCTGGGGCTGAGACAGATGAAGCGACAGAAGGATGAGAGTGGCAGCAGGAGGCCCCCTTCGCCCCATGAGCCCTCGAGCACAGTCCTAGCAAGAACAGGATTGGGGGGCTGCCATCCCTCCCTAAGCCCACTCTGAGGAAGAGCAGCACAAACTGTCCCCAGGCCCTGTGAGCTCCATCACAGGAGCTCATTAAGGTCGCCACTCGAGCGAAGTACTGGGTGCAGCCTGAGTTCCGGCTGTCGCTCAAGCCTTCAGGCCCCAGGGTGACACGGCTGTGGGTATGATCTCAGAGAAGGCAAACTTGCAAGACGAGACCAAATGACCCTGCACTCGGTCAGACAACTGGAACCCTCCTGCCCGCCCAGTCACAGTGGCATAAAGGGTGACTGAGCTGGGCCTGCCGACCAGTGGAGGGTCATGTGCTGGTGGCATGTGTCACCGGCCTAGGAGCTCCCTGTCCCTCATGCTGGTATTTGGCTCCATTTCTCTTCCTGGCCTAGGTCAAGAGTGTCAGCAGGGCCGGGGGCCTGGTGGACCAGTCAGTTGCGGGTTGTGACCCCTAAGCTTCGGGGCTGTGGGGCTGCCCCTGCCCTAGCCGGGCCTCTGGGGACTAGAGAAGCCAGGACCTCTTCATCACACCTCATTCCTCTGGGGGGTGGGGTGGGAGGAGGGGCTCTCCTGCGCCACTGGCTGTGGTCCTGAGGTCACTGTCTGCCCATGCACGCGTAAAGGGGTAGAGAAGGCTGTGTTCCCACAGGCTCGGTCAGGACCGGTTGATGGCATCTCTGAGAAGGGAAGCTATGCTTTGTTGAGTGTTTTGGAGGCTCTGGAAGAGGAAATCTGTTCCCCTTTGTAGAGCAAGAGCAAAGTGGCCTGGGCGTGAAGGGAGGCCTAGGGGGGCTGAGCACTGTGTGGGTGAAGGTGAGGCAGGGAAGCCCTATGAACTGTGGTCCCTGAGTTGTGTGGGAAAGAGTGGCATTTAGCAAAAGTTTCCAATGGCCATGAGGCACACCCTCCCCTCCAGCTCTCCCACGGGCTCTTCAGGAAAGTCTCAAACGCTCATGTGCATTTGAGGGAGTGGATTCTTTCTGGTGGACACGGAGAGAGGCTAGTGCAAGATGGAAATGCAGACTGGAGGCCTGGCCAAAGGAGTTAGAGGCCAAAGTGGGCAGCTTGGGTCTTGGACTGGAGGGCTCATCCTAGCCCCACGGGCATCTTCCAAAGCAGGTGGTCTGCTCCCCTCATCGGGCTAGGATCCCAGAGAATGAGAAACATGACGTTCCCCCTGCCGGCTGCCGGAGACGGGGCTGGGCATCTGCATGGGCAAGCCAGCTGGGAGACCAGTTCTTGTGGGAGGTCCCACCCAAAAAGCACTTACTAGAACATTTCAATGGATAGTAAATCGAATGCCAAGTTCTAAGTGAAAGAGAAAAGAGAAACGCTATATGTCACAGGGCTCGCTACTGGTTGAGCAGAGCACCCTCTATGCGGCAGGAAGCCCCTCACTGTCTGCCTTCCTGGTGGCTCTGCTCTGGTCACGGGAGCGCGTCAGGAGCTACTTGCTGCCCTCAGCGACTAGCATGGTGTCTGGCAGGACGCAGTGGCTTCCTACATAGCCACGGACTGAAATGAATGATGGAACGAACGAACCAGTGGGTAAGTTCTGGTCTGGATCCTGGCAGCATGCAGAAGTTTCCCACTCAGTGTCCCCCCACTGGCCTGGGGCCAGGGGACACTGGCTTGCCTATAAGCCCCGTTTGTCACGATCTCCCTAGGAGTCCCCTGACGGATGCTGACACAAGTCAGACTTTTACTCATCAGATCTGGAGTCCACCCTAGAGTCCACCCTCATTGCCACAGCTGGGCTGGCCCCAGGGCGCAGGCAGTGGGGCCCACTGGCCCGAGCAAGCTAGACAAGAACAGAGCAAACGTCCCTCCGGGAGTCCTACAGCAGGGACAGAGGGAGCAGGTTCCAAGAGCTCACAGTGTTTGTCCTCCCCCTTTCCAGCCCTTCATCTAGGCTCTCACAGACAGACTGACCAACGGACGTGGGACCAGTCCCTGTAGCTGTCACCATGGCCTCTGGATGGAGCCAGGAGCACAAAAAGGGGGACTCAGTGGTCAGGAGGATGTGGATTTGGGTCAGTCCTGCCCTATCAGAGGAGAGCGAAGCAGGACAGGTCACCTCACCTCTCAGAGCCTGCGGACACTGTGAGTCACCGCTGTGTAGGGTTCTTGAGGATTTGGTGAGGCCAAGACAGGGTCTGGCGCACAGGGGATGCTCGACAAAGATCACTTATGATCTATCGTTTACGTCCCTCTGTCCTGTGAGGATGTCCTGGGTGGGTTTATCTCCTCTCTGGACATTTTATGATTATGGGGACTGATAAGACAGGAGGCTTCAGCACTAGAGGAGAAGTGAGGAGTGTGGAGAGAGAGAGTATGTGTGCGTGTGAGTGTGAGCACACATGCACATGTGTGGGTGTGTACATGTGTGAGCTGTGTGTGAATGTACGTGCGAGACTGTATACCCACATATGTGTGAGTACATGAGCGCACGTGTGTATGAATGTGTACACACACGGGGCATTTCTTAGGAAACGTGTGCACACGCACGTGGGAGACTGTGTGTATAAGTCTGTGTGTGCGTGTGTAGAGTGTACGTAACTGTGGGAGTGTGCACACATGCCCCTGCACGCCGCTGGGGGGGCTACTTCGAAGGACAGTGCAAATCCGCCTCTGCAGCTTTCCGAGTCAGTGGATTTCTCCCCGCGTCCCTCACACCCTGAGTCGCCACGATGCCCCTTCACCTTTGGGGGCACCATAGCTATATGGGCGCTCCCCGTTCGGAGCCCATGAGTGTGTGGGGGACACGCAGTGGGTGGATTCCTGAGCAGGAGGCCCCACTCCGGGTGCAAAAGTGCTCACCACAGGAAGCCAAACCGTGGGCTGGGATCCACTTCACGGTCACGGTGCCCAAGACCTGAGGCCACGCGGGTGTAACACTCTGAGACCCCAGCAGGCGGAGCCACGTGCCCATCTCCACACCAGGCCCATCTCAGGCTTCTGGTTTTGAGAAGCCACATTTCAGACCAAATCTGCTCGCAGGTCTCCTCGGCAGCTCAGCCTGAGGAAGAGCTGCCGGCCTCAGGCTCCTGGGCCAGCTCTGGGCTGGACAATGAGTTGGGCTGCTCAGAGCATGGGGCTGGGACCCCCACCCCACGCCCATCCTGCTCTTCCACCCTCCAGTCTGAGCGGGCCCTGCCCCTGGGCCGAGCTGACCTGAGGAGCCACAGAGCGGCCTCCCCAGCCTGGGCCAGTGAGGGGCAGTGGGGGTGGGGCTGGTCCCTGCCCAGAGCCCTGAGTGCCACCCTGGGAGAGAGGCTGAGCTGAGGCCACACTCACCTTTCCAGCCCTGAAGACATCTCTTCACTAAACTCTGAGCTCTCACTACTGCCTGGAAAAGGAACACAGATCAATGAGCGTGGCAGCCTCACAGAAGAGCGGCCAACCCCACAGGAGTCCGTTCTCCTGGGTCAGCAGGCCCAGGGCCCTGAGCTCCACAGACATGCGGGAGACACGGCTTTCTGACCCCGGGGGGATCCGTGTGACTGGGGGTTTTGCTGCTGCCACTTCTCACTCGCTCTCTTGGGATGGTCAAAAGAAGTCTCCCCTACTGTTCCCGGTAGGTCCTCCACCCTTCCCACTGCCTCCTGCCCACCCCTGACCCCGCAAGGCTGCTCCTGGCTATGCACTGGCCCGCCAGGCCCTGCGCCCCTCAGCCTCCATGTCGGCCTGGCCTGGCCCTACCACGGCCTCCCTCCTGGACCAAGTGAAACCAGTGCTAGAACAAGCCTCACCAAGTGAGGACACAGGCCAAATGAGCACTTCTTTTCCCAAGGGCCAGGACTGTCACAGTAACTGCCTGGCATAAGACAGAAGCCTTGCGGAAGTGGCCCCTTGCCTCCTGGCCAGCATACACAGGAGAGAGGGTCCATCTCCCCCAGCTGGCCCTCTGGGGCGGACTGGGACACCTGCTCGCCAAGGCCCGGCTCTGGCCGCAAGGACACCTCTCACGGCACACTGCCCAGTCCTTTGTGCTCTCCCTCAGGCCTTGGCACTGCCTCGCTTTGGCCCTCTGCGGGCCGCCTGCTGGCACCGACTCTGGGCAGGGGGAGAGGGGGAGGGAGGAGGTCTCAGGTCCCTCGGGAGTCACCGGGTGGCGAGGGCTCCAAATAGGGCACACGCACGCATGGTTTTCGGCTCCATACAGAAAAGTGTCTGAGTTTTCCAAGAAGAGGAGCCGAGAACCAAACCGCCTGCTGATCCCTGTCTGGATACTGGAGAGTATTGTGTCTGACTCAGTGTTCTGAGTCAAGGCTGGGGGCTCAGGCACAGCTCAGTAAGTTTCCTGGGATGTAAAACAGCTGCCCTGCTGCCCCGCTGAAGGCTTTGGGGCTGGCGTTTCCCAGACTGGTTCCTCGGAACCTCCTCCCCATCCATACCTCATTCCAGAACACTCCAAGGAAAAGGGTCCCATGACCAGACTGGGAGAACCTGCAGACTCTACCGCCTTTTTGGTGATCCATAATGCCCATCGGCACATTCAAGGCTCTGAGAACAGACCTGCTTACCTGGTTCAACCCAGCCTTTCCCCACCATACTGACCCCGGAATTCTCTCCAGCATACTGACACCTATGAACCACGGGCTGCACTGTCCTGAGCTGTCATAAACCCCTGACTGGGCCCAGTGAGGATGACTTCCTCCCAGGCCAGAAGGGAGACATAGGCCTTGCTTGTCACAGTCTTTCTGGCAGTGGGAGAGAGCTGTCCCCTCCCCCCCAGTGATAGTGACTCAGAGACCTCCCTCATTTCGCAGGTATGCAGGACCTGGGATCCCCGCCCTCCCCCCAACTTCCTCCCAGGATTCATGGGCCCCCAACCAGACCTCACGAGATCAAACCCCTACCCTGGCGACTCCCTAAGCCGCCACCAGCCCTGGGAGGGCTCCCTTTGAAGGGAAGCAGACAGACACACAGACACACAGACTATGGAAACACAGGCACGGCCAGTGGACAGTGTACTTGTCTGATGGTTGTCATGACAGGTGACCTGGGCACTACAGGGGGACAGGCCTGTGACCAGAGCACAACAGTGTCCTAGCTCTGACTCAGCCTCTCTCCATCCTGGCCTCAGCAATTCGGCTTGTGTTCCTTCCATGACACAAGTACCATTTCTGGCTCTAGCTCAAACACGCAATTTTATCCCTGAGGATCAATTTTTCATCCTCCGAAACTCTGGCTTCTCAGTGTGAAGACAAGTATACAAGAAGAACCCGGTGGCCCGCCCCGCTGCTGTCCCCAGGCAGCTTCACCTACTGCTTCCCCTACTTGGCTTTGCACACCGGGGCTTGTGGTGCCCCCAGGACAGAAGGCCCCCTGGGGCACAGCCAGGCTTTGGCAGCTGCCAACCAGTAACAGCGGGTCTCAGGTGTGCATCCGGCGGCTCCTTCCACCCGCCTGCTGTGCTCGGAGCACCCAGTGGAACCCCGGAGACCGGGAAGCAGAGGCCTCCCTGGCTTGGGCGACTGCGGTAGGGAGCCCTTTCTGCAGGGGGTGGCGGGCCACCGGGCGCTGCACAGTGACAGAGACAGACACGGAGCACACACCGGACTGTGGCCCGCCCACTGTCGTGTGCAGGCCGGAGACGCTTACCTAGGGAGAGTCCATTGGTGACGGCAGAGGAGGAGGTGAGGGCGAGGGCCCTGCGGGGGCTGCGGGACTCTAGGACACTGTCGTCCAGCAGGTGCCTCGCTTTCTCCGATGGGAATGTCGCACTTTTACTCTCAACTACACTCAACTGACACATCATACTGGAAAATGGAAAGGAAGAAAGAAGGCAAAGCTCCTTATCTGTGGCATAACAGCGAGCACACCTGCACGTGCGCGGGGGTCCTGAGCAGACGGCGCAGCTGGAGGAAAAGGACTTCCGCCCAGAAGCATGGTGCAAGTCCAGGCTCTGCCCTAGCTCATGGCGTGACCTTGGGCAAGTCGCCTCCTTTCTCTGAGCCTCAGTTTCTCCATCTGTCAAATGGGGACTAATGATACTTGCCCTGCATCTCTCGGGAGGACGACAAGGCTCAAGTGAGCGGACAGTGCTTGCGAACGATGCAGCCACACAGGGGAAGGGGCGGTGTGACCTGCGGCCAGCATGCCTGGCTCTGGAGCCACACGTCTGGTCCAGATCCTTGTGTCAACCTTGCTCACAGCTGCAAAGTACTCCACCCAACTGAGTCTCAGAGGACGGCTTCTCACAAGGTATGAAGACAGCACCCACCTCTCACGCCTGCAGGGGCTCAAGGATGTAAGGCACGGCAGGCACATGGCGGAGCATCTAACCAGGGCAAAGCCCGAAACACTCAGAGATGACCCTCCCCCTCCGGCCTGTGAGGGACCCCAGGGCCAGCTTGAGCTGCCTGAGGCTTGTGTCTTAGTGGAGGAAGAAAGGAAGGGAGAGAGGGACGGAGGGAAGGAGAGGAGGGAAGACCAGAGGGAGGAGGGACCCAGCTGTTCAAGAGTCTGTGCCCAAAACCCTGGGGACACAGGCCCGGCCATGATGAGGCCAGAAGGGACCTGGGTACCCCCACCCCCGGGTGTCAGTCCCATATGGCCGGGCAAACCAGCGGCAGGCTCACTGCCCTTCGGGTTTTCTGAAACAACGGGCGAAAAGAGACCCTGAGCCCCAACACTGGCAGGTGCCTGTGCCTCGAGACATTTGGTGATGTCCTGGATGACAGTCATGATGTCCAGTGGACTCTGGAGTTTCCATAAGGGAGGCACTAACTGAGCTTGGGTAAAGCTTCTGGAATCCCACCATCGTTTCCCTGCACTTCCCTGCACTTCCCCGTGTGCTTCCTCCATCAGCTCCTGAACCAGTGATGCTCGCCACCGGTACACAGGCTGTGCTGCCCCAGCCGCCCTCCCAACTCCTCTGAGCCCGTGTCATCCTGGGGAGAGGGCACCTGCCAGGGATACCGAGAGCACTCAGCAGACGGATAAGGGAGCCCCCCAGTGGGCAAGCATTCCCAGCAGCCCTGGAGCCCATGTCCCACACTCAGCCCAGTCTGGAGCCCACGGCAGGTGTTGGGGGGCGCGGGGAGATGCTCAGTCACCCACTTGTTTCCCAGGCTGTGGCTCTTCCTGTGTCTCGGGACAGGGGGTGTGGGGAGGCTGCCAGCAACAGACGCATCAGGACAGGTGGGCCGTCGGCTGAACCTCGCAGAGCTGGAGCCGGCGGAGGGGCCTGTGAACAGAACAGAGAGAGAGAGCAATGGTCAGGGCAGGCTGGGGAGGCTCAGAGGTGGTGGCCCCGGCGGGGTAAGGCACTAGGCCCGGCTGACATAAGCAGGACAAGGTTCACAGAAGCCTCGAGGCTTTCTACTCATGAGACACGGACCCCTCACGGGCAGCATAACTAGCCTCTGAACTGTCAAGATGGCTGGTGTCCTGCTGCACACGGTGCCCCTGGACCGGACAGTGCCACTGGCTAATACAGCGAATGTGCGGATGGAGGTGTGGGGCGCAGGCGGGAGGCAGGCATGGGGACTGGCAGCCTAGCTTGGTCTCCCCACGGCAACAGTTCTCCAAGGCACCCAGCTGGGTGGCAGAACTGAGAGCTCACAGTGTATCTTCTGAATCGAAGTCCAGCGTCCGTGCCCTGTGCCCCTGTGGCCACTTTCTGTTCTCTGCTCATTCAGCCAGAGGGGATGGGGGGCTTCTCGGGGAGGCAGTGGCTTTCCCGCGGTAGGCCATGGCTAGGGAGGCAGGGGCTGAGACGCCAGGCCTATCCATTACTGGCTGATGACCTCGGACAGGTTATTTCACTTGATCCCTGAGCCTCAGGTTCCTCTTCTGGAAAGCAGGAGTAACTCAGCTGACCTTGCAGGCGGTTGGGAGGTCATGAGGTCACGTACGTGGAGTCTCACAGACAGTGCTCCTACTTGTTTGATTCTGGTAATTATTGCCATGTCCTCCTCAGCCTTAGCCATGGGGTCAGTGGGAGGTCACGAGAGCGGGGTGGGGGGGCTGCTGGGGCCACAAACTGCACTGGGTGCCGAGTGTGGAGACTGAGGCAGAACCCTTTGTGCAGCCACGTCCTGGGCTATACAGCTGGAGGGGCAAGGTCCTGACCACTACTGTGGTAGTGGGAAGGGAAGTCTTGAAGGGAGGGGACCCCAGATGCTAGTCTAGCCTTAGCTACCCAGGACAGACGCTGGAAGTTAAGAGCCAGCGCTTCCACAAAGGAGTTGGCGGCTCCCTGCACAGCACATCAACACACAGCAAGCCGACAGGCTGCTGCCCAGCCACGCAGGCGAGCTTCCCTGCAGGGCCTGTGAGGTCCACGCAGGGCTTCAGACCCTCCACCACAAGACGCCGCAGATCCACACGGGGCCTAAGGGCTCCCTGTCCTCCAGCACGCCTGACTCATCCCCATTTTCATGTCCTAAATACTGAGCCCTGTTCCCAGCCTGTCACTGAAGAAAGCCTAGCTCCCTCCTGGTACTCTGGAAGGTTCGGGAGGCAGGCGAACACACCCTGTCCGGGGCGCAGACTTCCCGCTCCCCGCCGTTGGCTCACCTCTGCCTCCCGTCCACAACCCACAGGGCACACACACCTCCTCCCTCAGACCCCCGCGCCCCACCACCAACCCCTCTGTCCTTGAGCCCCTTGTGCAGCTTGTGGACCTCTCCCTTTCAAGCAATGCTGCTCTCTCCTTCCATGAGGAAGCTGTGGCTGTCAGGTCCAGCCTGCGACTGTCACCGGTGGCCGCACCCACACGCGGCTCCCTGCTGGGCCCAGGGCTTGGAACTTGTCTCCTCCCGGTTCTACCTGCTCCCTCTGAGAACTCACGCCATCACCTCCCATTCTCTCCCCAGGCCCCTTCCCCAGCCCTCTAAACACACCCTTGTCTCTCCTTCTCTGTGAAGTAAGGTCCCTTGGCCCCGTCTTCCTCCCAGCCAGTCGCGCCCTGTCAGAGGGCTGTTGTCCTCGCAGCTCTGCTTCTGTCCTCCACACCCAGCCTTCAAGTCACTGAAATCTGGTTTCCACACCCAGTGACATTTCCATTGACCTCCTTTTTGTGAAACTAATGAACACCATTGTCCTTCTCACCAGAGCCTGTGGCATCTGGTGCCAGTGACCAGTCCTTCTCGAAACACCGTATGTCCTGGGTGTCTGGGTGTCCGTGTGTCTCACTCTCCTGCCTCTCTCCGTGCATCTTCGCCACTGTTGCTCTGGCTCCTCCGTGGGCTGCTTATCCTCCAACCAGCTCTCACGCTTGTGTTTTCTACACACGCTTCCCTCTTTGGCTCCTGATTTTGATTTAATTTATCTCACCAGATATGCTGATGAGTCTGAAATGGACACTTTTCTGAGCCTGAAACCAATAGACCCAGGACGTTTCCATCTGAACTTCCGTAAGGTATCCCAAGTTCAGCTCAGTGAAGGCTGAACCTGGAGCCTCCTCCTCTATTTCCAACTCTGGACACTCTGCCACCTGGCCTGGAAGGTGGGGTCATCTCGGCTTCTCCTAGACTGTGACTTGTCTCTTCTCTTCTTATCTCCTCTTTGCTTGCCATACACAATCGTCAAGGCCCCCAGATTTTGCACATCTCCTCGCACCCATCACTCATGTCACTGCATGGTCTGAGTCCCCACACTTTATCTTCTGCCTCTGAAATCCAACCCCCATACGGCTCCATGAGTGTCTGAAAAAATGAGAAGCCGGACACACCATCTTCTTGCTTGCGACTGCTGATGCCGTGGTGTTCACACACCGCCTAACCGGGCTATTTAAGCTGATCTTAAAATCTTGTTGGAAAAATAAAGGGACAAAGTAGCCAAAACAGTTCTTAAAAATAGTAAAGGCCTCGCCCTACCAGATATCAGAACAAAACACAAACAACAGTGATTCACATAGTTTGGTCTTGGGGCAGGGATAGAGAAACAGTTCAGTAAATCAGAAGGGAGAGCCCAGATTTGCTTCTTCATGGTGGTGGAATTACACATCAGTGGGGAAGGGAGGGTGTGTTTAGTATATGGCACTGGGCTCCATTTGGAGAAAGATGAAATTAGAGTCCTCCCACCTTATATTACACAAGCGGATTCACGTCATGAATGTGAAAATCAAAAATGTGAGACTACTGGGAAAAAAATAAAAGGCAATCTTTATGACCTTGGAGGAAGAAACGAAAAGCATAAACCCTAAAGGACAAAAAAAATTGAATACAGGGGCACCTGGCTGGCTCAGTCAGTTAAGCGTCTGCCTTCGATTCAGGTCATGATCCCAGGGTCCCGGGATCAAGCCCCACATCGGGCTCCCTGCTGAGCAGAGAGCCTGCTTCTCCCTCTCCCTCTGCCTGCCGCTCTGCCCACTGTGCTCTCTGTCTCTCTGTCAAATAAATAAATAAAATCTTGAAATAAAATAAAATAAAATGAAACATTTCTTCTCCAAAACAAACAAATAAAAGACCGTAAAAACGATGTTAAAAGGCAAGTTGTAGTCTGGGAGAAGAGATCTATCACCACATCACTAGCAAAGGATTCGTGTTGAGATACATGAAGAACTTCAAATATCGGTGAAGAGAGACAAACCATACAGAGAAAATGGGTAAAGGACACAAATGGGAAATTCACAAAAGAGGAACCCCACGTGACCAATCACTACTACAAAGAGACGTGCTTAACCTCACTGGGGATAACGGGAATGCAAATTATATAGTAAAAGTGAGAAAAAAACTCTCTTACCTTATTAGATTGTAAAAATTAATTAGCCTAACGATGTCCAGTGCTGGCTAGGGGGATGCTAGTTCGGGGTTCACAGGAGTGCCCAATACTTGGAAAGCGGCAACGGCGAGTGAAGGTGAAGGTGCCAGGGCTCTGTGCAGGCGGTTCCAACTCGAGGAATCCGCCCTGAGCAAACGCCTGCAGATGTGCACAAGGAGACGCATGCACACGGATGTGCTACGTAGCACTGCGTCCAACAGCAGAAGAGGGGAAACAGTCCACATGGCCCTCAGGAGGGAAATGGATGAATGAGCTGTGGTCTATGCATCCAGCAAATTCTACAGAGCAGGAAAACCGCGAAGAAACCAGATTTATAGGTATCAATACAGATTAAATCCTAGAAGCACCTAGAAGCGGAAAGTGTAAGGTGCAAAAGTGTGTTTACATTGAGGCATGATGCCATTTGTGTAAACATTTTAGAACATGCAAACCATGTTCCAGTTCCAGGCTGCCTGGGGTCTCTCAGAAGCGGGCTCTGACAGATGGATCCATGACAAGGACGCCTGAGAGGCGGGGCCTGGACTTTACCAACAAGACACGGCCCATGGAAGGCCTTCGAGGAGCGTGTGCAGGTACTGAGACGTACTTCAGCTGAGCGTCTGCGGGCATCTTTCCCTGCAAGGTGGTCCATGCCATCACCAGCCCAGTTCACCGGGGGATGGAGCAGAGGCATCTGGAGAGAAATGGGGTTTCTTGGGCCCATCCTGGAGGTTCTGATTTCATTGGCTTCAAGCGGGTCTGGCCATTGCTCTCCAGGTGGCCCGCATGCGCACCCCAGTGAAGACATTCTGTGCAAAAGCTGGGACAAAAGCAAGCTCAGGCCTGGAGGAAATGTCTCGTGTGTCTGCCCCAGAGAAGAAAGGGAAGAATGGAGGCCGTCCTGGTTTGTTTTTGTTTTGCACTTATTGCTCAATAAGTGAATCCATGCGGAGGGCGGAATTCGCCTTGTTTATCAGTGGCATGGCCGCGGGATTACACTGACTGAGTCACCCTGGCTCCCACCATGGGTTCAGAAAGTGTTTTGCAAAGGTCAGTTTGCACTGCTCTGGCCCCTGTGGTTTGAACTGGAACTCGACTCCCTGTGCTGTCACAGTAATAATGACGGTGATAATCACGATCGAGTGTTCTGTGCCGGGGACCGAGGTGCAGGGCGTGCTGCCCTCCACGTCGGGGCTTCTCCCAGCAGCTCTGGTTCATAGATGGGAAAGCCAGGGCCCATTCAGCAGCCACGTGCTGGACTTGAGCCCAGGGGTCCACGGCTCTCCCAGTGGGGGCGGGACAGGGAGTGGGGGGGCAGGTCTAGCAGTTCGAAGGTCAGGCGTTACCGAAAACCTGAGGCAGAAAAAAATAGTGTCACACTTGAGGTGATCCGATAGAAGCAGGTGGCACTTCCTCAAGGAAGCGTGTGTTGCAAAAGGTCCAACTGCTACACTTGCAGGTTAAGGTGGAGAGGACAAA